CTTGGTAAGAGGCCTATCCATGCTGCATGCCTGCCCAAGTCCTCTAGTTTCCTTTTTGATAACAACCACAATTAGATCATTAACTTCTTGCTGGGACCAAGTAGGATTCTTGACGTAGTCAGAGTAGTCGTGGGTCCAGTAGCTTAATGTAACTGGAAACCCGTCGTTTCGTAACGTCCCTCCGTAGTTGTTGGCGTTCGACTTTCGACCGCGTCATCATTCTAGCTACACTACGATTACTTACTCGTACGAAGCCTACACTACTGCACCGCATGCCGCATGGACATCAAAAGGGAAATGGAAAAAATAAGATGAGTATTTTTCTTCGATTTCTAGTGATGTGCACGTTGGTGCTGGTGGGTTACCCGTTGTTGCAAACAGTCAGTTGCAACTTGGCTGTGTAGGGAACTTTGACCGTTGTTCAAAAGATGTCGTCAGTCAAAAAAAAAAGCAAACAACGGGGAAGTTTAGAGAAAAGTGGAGCCTCTAAAGATGAGGATTCTTCATCTCCCCTTCCTCGTATAGCTGAGTCGGAACCGCTGCAACTGCCAACGGCCGAAATGGCTTCTACAAGGATTGGCGACAAAAGCGAGGCGATAGTCGCCGATAGCGACGAGTTTGCTAAGGAATATTTCAATATCGAGCGATCTCCTATTTGGAGTGGTTCCAACAAAGGATGGCAGCTGACTTGGGGTATTTGGCACAGGCTTCCGAGAGATGAACGAAAGAAGATTGCTCTGGAACATGGTATGAAATCGATCGGTGAATTCGAAGAGTACGTGTCTTTGCAGCAGGCAGTTGATGATTCAGAATATTCCATGGTGGAACTGGTGGAAAATTCGTCACACACGACAACAACGATTTCAAATGTTGCATCACATGACAATACTGTACATCAGACGAAAGGATTTGAAGAAAATAGAGAGGAAGAAAGCGACGAGGACGACGGCGATGATGATCTCTTGCACAACGAGGCTACTGAATTGGCAACCGAATTGACTTCGGAGGAACTGGTAGCGGTGGGAGGAAATATTCTTATTCTTCCATCCGAAATTTTGCACCAAATAGTTGCATGGCTTCCGGCAGATGCATATGGGACGCTTGGACTGGTCAGTCCTCATTGGAAATTTTTCACCAGAACAGAAGTAGTCTATAAGCGCATATGCGAGAGGCTGTACCTCAATCAGAGTAAACGGCGGCAATTGCATGTCTCTCGTTTCGGTGGATCATATCGACGGATGCTTGAAATACGTCCGAGAGTTCGGGCCGCCGGGGGTTGTTACGTTTTGAAGTATTCAAAGTACAAAAAAATCGAGCGAGATATGTGGTGTGAGATTCCAATTGGGGCTGTCCTTGAGACCGTTTATTATCGATACGTGTACTTCCACGAGGATGGCCGATGCTTATACGCGCTCTCCAACTCGCCACCCAAGGTAATGTTTCCACGAATACTCAACGTCCTGTTGCACAAGGAAGAAACAGACCCTGCAATTGTGACTGGAACCTTCCAAGTGCAAAAGTATAATTGCACGATCATCGCAAAACAACCATGGCACACCGTCAAATTTGAGATAACAATTGTCCCGGAATCGGTTCACGGGCGATTTGCAGCACTAACAATTGACCGCCACGTTACCAGCGTCTCTGGAGAAATTGACGATTGGAGTTATGATCTTGTCGAACACGAAGTTCCAGACAAGCGATTTCGATTTATGAAGGATGGCAGATTATGAATAATTTTCTTTAAGAACCAGTTTTCCAATTCTTTTCCATGGATCGTACACACTAACTTCATTCAAAACCTTATCATGTCTTTGGTTGAAAAATCAAAAAAGTAAACTAAACTACACCAAACCACGAAGAAGGTTACCACCAAAAAGACTCTCTGAAACTAAAATTAAGATGAGGAAACATACGTTTCTAGTAGGCTATGGTGCACTGAACTATCACTTTTCACTTTTGTATAGAAGGCAGTAGCCTTGATGATTCTCACTACTCTGGACTTCCCGCAGAAATAAAAAGAAACTTGTTTTTTTGGTGTAGGATCAATGTAAACCTCAGTATACCATATTTTGCAAATAAATTAGTACCTTGAGAAAAAATGGTTATTCATTTTAAATARTAGGAGGTCAGAAAGAAACACTTAAACCAGTGATTTCAAGATTCCCAAGAGTTTGTAATGTTCAGTCAATATTGCCATCAATCATTTCAAGATTTAAGGGAACCAAATTGCTCCCAAGAATAAAAAAATCAGTCATTGTCTCCATCGGTCCTCATTCCAAGATTTAAGAAAGGAGATGAATCGTATTCCATTCAAATCCCCAGTGGCATTCTTCTAATGAAAGTACTTTCCAGGAACCTTAGCAGGCAATCTGTTCCTAGCAACAGTTCCCATCATACCCAAACCATTCTCACCCATCCAATCCAAGATGGAATCTGATGGGAAGAAATTGTAAGCAGTTATGTAAGGCAAGGACTTCCACAGCTTGTCCAATCCAATCTTACCAAGAACATAGTTTTCAATGAGGTGATGAACTTCAGTAGGGCCAGTGCAGGAATGTTTATCATTGCTAGATTAATGTTCATCATTGCTAGATTCCCATCCAGGATATTGATGTTTCCATGCCTTGGTGGACAGATGCAATCAACATCAGACATGAGTACTATTTGTCTGCCTCTTGTAATCATCTTTCCTTTGAGATAGTTGTTAACAAGTGGACCAGCAAAGCCTTGATATGGCCAGCTCATCTTGTCAATAGTACATAGGTCCAAGCCAGCCCATCCAGTGAAATAGTTTGTATTGTTCATAATGGTCTTGTGTATGTATTCAAACTTGTAAGCTTGCAATCTCCTCATTAAATGAAAAATCCTTAGAATCCCATCTATACTTGATATTTTCACTTGCTCCTTCACAAGCTCCATGCATAAAAAGGATTCCATCAAAATGAACTGCTTCAGGTAAGGTGACAGGTTTCACTTGGTGTCCTTCCCCTTCATTTGAATCAGAGATGTAGACATTAGTATATCACACGACCTTGTTATAATAAGTATGCTTCTTCTCAAGTTCAATCTGGTAGCGTTAAGCTTCTTGCAAATCTGGAGCAATGGGAAGAAGCAGCTGATAGAGGAAAGAACACATCTCTGCTTTCAATACAGTCTTTTGTGAGCCCATGCTGCTGCTGGAGCTTGAAGACATCTAGCTTCCCCTTCCTCTTGTCTGGAAACATATTATCTCTCATGGCAAACTTCCTTGTAAACTGGTTGTTAGGATCTTCCATAGTACCATCCCACCCAAGGTAATGAAACTTCCATCCATTCTGCTCCCTGATAGGTTCCTTGCCAAGACCAGCTAAGTTTTTTTCAGCAATTTCCACAGGCTTACACTCAGAAGGAAGGAAGTGACCTTTGTATTTCCCTGTGCCTGCTTCAAATTCAGGTCTGTAGTAATAGGGTTGCCAACCACCGGGATGGTCAACATCATCCCAGTCTTCTGGTTCTCCTTTGTTGACCTTTGTTGGATCCTTCCTTTCATAACCCACTGGAACCTTTGGAAAGTTGAGACTGCTGTCAACAATAGTTCCATTCTTCCAATAGAAGAACTAAGTATCATGAGGCTCAATTGCATTGTCCCAGTTCCAAGCTGTTTGGCTCTGAGTGATTATATTGAAGAACTCTGCTTGTGCTGCCTCCTTGTGACTTATTCCAGAAGCCTCCATATCATAATTTGGCTCAAGATCATCAACAACCTCTTCATCACTTGAGCTTTCATCATCCTCAAACAAAGTTTCTACATCTGATTCTAACTCCTCAAAGGCTGTTTCAAACGCAGTGGCTTGGGACTCCACGAGGGTCCTTGGTGTTACTGGTGGTTGTTGCATTATCCTTCTTCTTGTTGGTTGTTGTGTTCTTGTTGTCCTCCTTGACAAACGTCAGTTGGTTATGTTGTTGAGTGGCATCAGTGGCACCGATGGTGGTGTCACTGATAGTGTTGCTGATKGTGTTGCTTAGTGTCCCTGTCAGTGTTGGTGAGTGTCGCTGCTGCAGATGGGTCTTGGGTCTTGTTGATTTGTTGTTGTTGTTGTTGTTGTTGTTGTTGTTGTTGTTGTTGTTGTTGTTGTTGTTGTTGTTGTTGTTGTTGTTGTTGTTGTTGTTGNTTGTTGTTGTTGTTGTTGTTGTTGTTGTTGTTGTTGTTGTTGTTGTTGTTGTTGTTGTTGTTGTTGTTGTTGTTGTTGTTGTTGTTGATAGCGTTGACGCGTTGTCCTTGATAAGTGCTGTTGATAACTGGTTAGTGTTGCTGATACTGGTGATGCTGTTAAATGTGGATAGGACTGTTGCTGGAAATATAGTGATGCTGTGGTGTTAGTGGAGGGGTGGCAAGTAGATGTCAGTTGTCGGAACAAGAAGCACTTCCACTGAGATAATGGTAGCTTCAGCATATGGTTGTGAGGACTCCTCTGTGTCTGACAATCAACAACAAGTTGCCTTGCTGCTATCAGCATCAGCCACGAAGGAGCAGTATTGGTGCAACAATGGATGGTAATTTAGGTCAATATGTTCATCGAGAATTTATTTCTGGCATGTTGACTGACATCAAGACAAAAATTCCATACAAAAAATGGTGCAGTTGGACAAGATTTTGTGATGTCAGTAGGTGCGCTTGAAATATTTTACACGGGAAAAAGATAGCCCAAAATTGATGACTGTATCGTTGATTTCGGAGCCAACTGGCAACACTGGAAACTACTGTCCATTTATGCAGCTTCTTGTTTGGTATGATAAAATTGGACAGCGCCTCCTTCTTGTACTAGTAGACAAGGGAAGAACTCCTCCCATCATTAGGATTATCATCCAAGTCAGGATCCTTGTTGGGCCTGTAAACTTTCTTTGCAAAGAACTTGTAGATATGATCTGGCATTATCTAGTAGGAGATGGCTCAGCTCATTGTGCCTGAACTGATGATCACTATGAGGCCCTGCCTCCATGGTCCTCTCTTCCATGCATGTGATCCAATARTACAAGGAAGAGTGTTGAATGGTATTGTCTCCTTTGGCCTGCTGACTTGTTCATGTTGTGTGGAGGGATCACTCATCTGTTGCCCCACTTTCTTGCCTGCTGACAGCTTGCCCTGGGAGATTCGGAGTGGTGCAAGTTTATGTATTGCCCTTAAGGAAATTTGTGTACATTTTCCTACTAGGATCCAGKAAAAAAAGTGGGTTGCAAAATGTAGGGGCAAATGAGTACTCCTTGTACTTACTTGTATGAGAATGCACCCCTACTGCAGCATGAATGGGGTTCCTAGCTTCTTTTCCCAAGAATGTTACAAAATAAATTTAATGGGTCATTCCCAATATAATACAGTAGATGAGCTAAACTGGTAAGTGTGGCACATATAGTATTTCCATGCTGATAAGGGGAATCAAAAAATTTCAACAGACAATGCTGACCTGATCACAGTCATTTTGGGAATTTGGAATCTTATGTTCAATGTGACATATCACYAAAAAAGTGTAGTAGTACTAAAAACTCAAAACATTGAATTCCAGGATACTACTAGTACTATTATTACATTTGATAGCACCAGTTCTTTGGTTGCTATCAAAATTAATAAATTTTGATATATGTGCTAAATTTTCAGTCTGTCAGTTTATCAAAAGTAGCACATACTAGTATGATGCTGGTTTTGCAACTAAATTTGCATTCTAATTATTGCCTCACCAGCCACACAAATTCCTACTAAATAGGCCTATGACCCAAAATACACACATACTACCGTAAATCATACCCCTATTTTTGCAACTGTAATGACTTTTTTGTGTGGTTATTAACACGAGAGAACAGTATACTGTATTGTAATAAAGGTGAGATTCAGTAGCCTCTGAGTTGCATTCTCAGCTGTCAAAAATATGTACTACTAGAGAGTGCGACAATGCAACCCGGTCATTGGGGTATTCAATGCATGGAGGTGCAAACTAATAATTTTTGATCACTAACATGGAGGACGCTCGCTGATAAGGAGAATGTTGATACAGAGGCTCACTGTTATGGAGGACACTTGCTGATACGGATGCTCACTGATACCGAGGCTCACTGATAGGGAGGCTCGCTGATACGGAAGATGCTGATACAGAAGATGCTTGTATGGAGATGCTTATACAGATATACTTATACGGAGGATGCTTATATGGAGGAGCATGCTTGCTGATATGGAGGCTYGCTGATACAGGAGAGATGCTTATTGTATAGAGTTGGCCAGCTAATGTACGGTTCCAGCCGTGTATTTGTGGCTATCTTTTTCCCATGTAATGACTACTTTGACTAAAAAAGGGCTTGTACTGAAGTTTACAGCTGGGCAAATGCTGAATTTTTGAGTCCCACAAGTGTGCGACCAAATACTACTTTCGCGCACACGTGCTCAACCAACAATTTTGGCTTCAAACACATGCAAATTTTTAATCCCATGAGTCATTACACGGTAAAAAGATAGCCCAAAATCCACTCATAGTATAAAAAACACGYAGGGCATTAAGAGAGGTTCAACTCACTCAAACAGTCATAACTTTYCCCCCAACGGACGCTTAAGTATGATAAGCACATGGTTAAAAAGAGAATTCAAAGAGCTTTCTAGTGCCGTGGGRGAGTACGGCTTACGACAAATATTGACCARTATACATGTATGTATATCTTTAATTGCTAATGTATGTGTTGTCCGTAGGATATCAGACCGTGGGTATGATTCATACATACGACACATACTTACGATACGTATCTACRACTCATACACACCATRCATATACGACTCACGCGATCCCCTAGGATTCATATGATCGAYGTGACTCATCTCATTCACATGCGTGAGTGACTTGACTCATTCGATTCACATCTCACTCGATCCCCACAGCGATCCATTCTAGATTTCATAGTTCGTCGATCCTYGATAAGAGCATCGACTCACTTTTCTATTAGCATACACTTTACATCACTTTAGGACAGTCACTCCCACAGGTTATGACACCCTTCCAATAAAAATTCATCACCACCATGGTGATAATTTTTTAGGCGTGCTCTCTCCTTAATAAATACGAACTCTACCGACGCAACGTCGACACACACCTTTGAACACAACGATCGACAGCGCATGCGCCCGTCACCACCATCGTCCCCGACAACGCCTC